TGCTGCCGCCAGTGCCATAGCAATGCTATGCATGCAGCAGGAGCCTAAGCATCAGAGCTGCCGCAGAGACTTTGGGCTGTGCACAGGTGGGGTAAGTCGCCGCGCGAGGGAAATTCTGCTCTGCTGGGCATGGGGCACCTTTGCAAAAGGAGCTTCTCCCCAGCAGGTGTGGGAGCTCGGCTGTGTGGGGCCTGCCAGTGCTGAGGTGGTGGTGTGCTTTGAGGCTTCACCCCACCCTCCTGAACAGCAGCATGGGTTGCGCAGAGAGTGGGGCTGTGGGCAATGTGTGGGAATTAGGCAGTCACTGCCTTCCTCGTTGAGAGCCAGAGCAGGCAGGAGGGGGGTGTGTGTGTGTGTGTGTGTGTGTGTGTGTGTGTTAAATACAAAAAGAACAAACAAAAGGTTCGTTTATGTCAGTAGTTTAAAATGTCCTGCACTATCACTAAATATTGGTTATTGGATCGGCATTGGCTGATATTGTTGGTTAATCATTGGCTGTTGGTATCAGTCAAGAAAATCTTTATTGGTGCACCCCTATTAAGACCTTTTGTTAGTAACAAAGAAGCAGTGGGGATTGGTTCAGAGGAGAATGAACCGTTAGGAGGAACACTTTGGGTTTTTTCAGCTTCTTGAGAGTGCTGGAGTAACATTGTAGCTGTGAGTAACATTGTAGCTGTGATGGTCCAGGAATTGTGTTGGACGCAAGGATTTTTGTGGGTGATATCTTTTATTGGACCACGCACATGGTTAAGATAAAGTTATGCAAGCTTTCAAATGCAAGGCATTCTTCATCAGGTCTGACCAGACAAAGTGACCTGATGAAGAATGGAATAAAGTTAGACAGGCTCTTGAGCGTAAGGCGTTCTTTATCAGGTCACCTTCATCGGGTCACTTTGTCTGGTCAGATGTAATGAAGAGTGCCTTGCATGGGAAAACCTGTCTAACTTTATCCCAACCTTGCAGTTAGTACAAAAGAAGATACCACCCACAAAAATCACTTTCTCTCAGCTTCTTTAAATAACCTTAACAAGCTTTGGCAAGCATTTATTGCAGTTGTCCTGGCCACAACTTTTCCACTATCTGTCTGGAGCTGGTAGTTGTTGTGGTGTCCGACCGGCTTGCCGGGCTATGGCCGGGAGCCTGGAACATCAGGTGGGTACTTTGACGAGTGGAGTGGAATTAGGCACAGATGCGTATTGGTAAAATAGATTGTTTACTTACGCCGCCGATGCATGCAGCGCAGGAAGAAGCTGACTTTGATTGCAGTTACAAACGTAGCAAGAGCTCTTTGAGACGAGACGTTCCGTAAACAGCTTATCGAGCATGCAGGGGAGGGGGTACGTCAGGGAGGTTGGTGACGGGGAGTCATTGGTGGGTGATCAGTCCACCAAGTTTACTCCAGGATGCGTGCGGAGTTCTCCAACGTGGGCGGAAGCTGCTCGTACTTTTGAATAGTTAACAGGCCAATTGCTAGTTGCCGAGTGGGAGTAATTTGTAACCGGCCAATGGGTGGCACGCATTTTGGCGCGCATAGTTAGCCAATTACAAGGGGTTGTGAAGTTTAAACAAATGTAGTCGTTGGGCTTGGCGGGCTTTTCAGTGTGCTGGGATTTTCCACTGTGCCATAGGCATTTACTTAATGGGTTCTGACAGTTGTATGTACAGTCCAACACATTGCAAAAGCAGCATTTCATGATTCTATGATACTAATGTTACTGTGCATCTGCTGTTGCATGGTGGAATGCAAAACGTTTCAGACCCTGCTGTAGAAATGGTTGAGGCTCATCAGTGCTCATTAGTTTACACACAGCTCACTGGAAGTGCCATGCTGGAATCCAGTTTGGAGGCTATTTTAAAGTACAGGAGGAGGAAATAGTGGATCTGGGGCAAGGAAGGTCTTCAAGGAAGCATGCTTTATTTTGAAATCCTATCTAAGCCTCCGGTGCAAGCTTAAATAGGCCAATGAATGCTTGCAGAACAGGTTTCAGATCAGCTGTGTGTGGATATGTGATTAATCATACACTGTTCACTTAATCAGGATTCATTGTTTGCAATAATGCTGATCCAAAAGTGATTTTGTAGAGCGCTTTCCATATATGACAACTGCAAAGTTTGCTTTGTTGGTAAACTTTGTGGTGAAGTTGCAACTCACTTTGCTAGAGGCAGCTCATTTAAGAACAATTGAGAAACTTCTGAACTCTACCTTTATCTGTGTTCTTTGAAATAATTGCTCATTATCAACTTGGCTCTTTGGAGTACATAGCAACACACATAAAACTGGCTGCTCTCAAAACAAGAAATTAAATACAAGCTGAGGGAATAGTCTTTCTGAAGCGCTATGAAAAAAAAATAGAACATAAGAAAGAAGTGGGTGAGCAAAGGAAATACATTTCTGTGGGATTTGGTCTTACATTTTGCTCTTGTTTGAAACCAGCAGGTTTTCATTAAGGGTTCCTATAATTTAAACCTATGTCCTGATCCTCCTTTACCCATCAGCTTCTCTAAGTACAGAAGAGAGCCATTAGGGATACAAGGTGTTGGGTTTTTTTCACCAAACCTTAGATATTTTTTATTTTTTTTTTTTTAATGACCCATATATGGTGCTTTGCTCTAGTACTGTATTTCCTTCCCATTTGCTCCATGGCCTTAGCACTTTGTTGGAATGTCCACGATTCTGTTGTTAACAGTTTACTACTTAAGTTATTGGTAGGCCACTTGTTTTGCCAGTCTCCAGAGCTGGGAGCCATGTCAAGCACACAGAAGCCAGAGTCATCTCGGCCAGATGGTGTTTGATACAGATGGATGGTTGGTTGTCATGCAGATCTTCTAGTTGGTAACTTGTTGCTGCCATCTGACTCAAGGAATAATTTGTGCACACTGGCTGTCAAAAGCATCTTCTCTTCTGTCTGTTTTAGCTGTCATGTCTGTGCTCTGTACAGAAGTGTTGACAAGACATTGCTGTTGTACATTTTCAATTTGGTTCTCAGTGATTTTTCTGCTTCAGGAGATCTCTTATAGCTGCTGGAGTGTACTGCTATATCATAATTTTTCCATGCTCATGCAATGCAACAATTATATGCCCTGCTAAGGCAAACTTGGGTAGATACACTCTTACATACTCTGTGGACAAGAATATATTTTTAAATAAAAAAAAAATACAGATTAGATTAAGACTAATTATATATGTTAACCTCATAGCAGCCTCTGACTTTGCCCCAATTCTTTCTCTGCTCAGTCATTCATCTCTCCTTTTGATTTTTTTTTTTTTTAATTCCCCCCCTCAAAGCTGCTTGAAAAAATGTCACAGGTTATTTGTCATAATTTCAATATTATTGGTGTTGTAGCAGCAAGAGCAGGCTAATTGAATAATGTTGTATAATTCCATTCTGCTGCTATTCAGATGACAGTCGGGTGTGATTCAGGTATTTTCTTAATTGGTTATCTAATATACATGCATTTTAGGGTAGCTGACGGTCCTTCTACCTGGCCTGATAGACCAGGCCAAGATGCTGGCTAAAGGGGAGATTAGGCAAAGTTAGATGCAAAGTAATGCTGATCAGTCTCACATTCCTTTCTCTGCTGACTAAGCCCTTCCTCCCCTTTTCTGGGGGATCTAGAGGACACAGGTAGCAAAGACACATAGCTTCTCTCTTTTCTTTGAATAAATTAAATATTGAGGAATATATTTTCTTAGTTGAGTGGAGAATATCTGTTATGGGGATAGAAGTATATTAGGGGGGAAAAATAATCAGTATATTTATATAAATGTTTAGATTTGTTTCCTTAAATTGGGTGTCCTATTATGGTAAACAAAGTAACTAACCAACCCTATGAAATAATAAACAAGTACCAAAATACCGTAATTTTAAAAAATGAATAATTTAGTTCATAGTTATGAATAAAGTTGGGGTATACAACCTCTGGGCAGCATGCAGCCTTCCAGAGTAGTATTAATCACCAGATATTTCAGAAAGTTGGCCACCTAGTCAGTTGACCAGATCACTCATACTGGTAGCCAGTGGTTCTCAACTTTTTCATACTGCTCATTGGACTCAAGGCACCATTCAGAATATGCCAGCTCTGCTTTCACTTATTTTTGACTCCAGAAAAATAACAGAGCAAAGAACCTGGAAAGACCACAACAGGTCAGAATGTTTTGACACTATGTTGGATTCCTATTTGAAATCTTTGGGTTATCTTGTGTAAGTGCTTGTATACCTAGTATTGTACAACATCCCATGACACCCTTAAAAGAATCTCACAGCTTTCCAGAGTGCTGCAGCACCAAATTGAGAATCACCGGCCTAAGTAATCCTCCATTGGAAAATGTACCATGTAAATAGCCTCAATAGAGTTTGAGTTACGCACCCCTGGAATACAAATTATTTTACTTAAAAATTATCTTGCCACTTGCTTCTGTTGGAATCTAGATTTCTCTAATCTAGCAGCTAACTGATGGCTGCTTTTTTGAGTCAGTACAGACTTGACTTTAACATGCCACAGGTGACAATAGTTGGATTATTGTGCATAATCCATAGCTGTAGTTGTCATAATACCAGAGTTGTCAACCTGCATCTGCTAAAGATGAGGTCCTTGGCCATCGCAAAAAAAGACTAGTGCTAATTCAAATATTATATTTGCAGACGGAAAGCTATGTACAGCAAATACGGGAACAGCAGGAACAGATAGAGCTTCAGAAAGGTATAATTGGAAAACTCAAGTCACAGTTAGCTACTAACAGAGGTATGTATTCTAATTTGTATAACTTGATATGCATCTCCTTGGGTGTGTATGTATATGTGCATACACATATGTATACATATACACACAGACACATACATACATACATACAGACGCACACAAGAAAATACATATATTTCAAGAAGAAGCGTGAGAATAAAAACACCCTGCTCGCATTGAAGTCAGTGGAAGTTTATATGGGGTCTTAAAACTATTTGCTGTAATAAGAAACTATCTGTGAACAGGGTTTACTTTTTTATTAATATTCAGATATTTGACTAATTTGTGTGAAGAAGCTTTAGTTTGCAGGTTGTTAGACAATTGGGTGCTGTAATTTTAAATGTGTTTTATACTACCATATTTTCTTGCATACGACATTCCCCCAAATATGGCATACATCATGTTTGTGGAAGGCAGAATGTAGAAAAAAGATTTTTCTGGAGTTATCGCATAGAGCTGGCTTTTTCATGAAGGCACTGTGCTACAAGATGGCTGCCAGCTTCTCTATCCCTGCCAAGAAGCGGGGGGGGAGGCAGGCCAGTATTAAATCTTTCACAGTCTCTTGAATTGTCACAAGTTCTTGGAAAGTTTTATTCCATAACAAAGATATGGGGAATATGTAGTACTGTGGTGAGTGCCACCTCAGTGCTACATATCTACTACATATCCCCCTGCCCCTATTATAGTATAAAATTTGCCCAAAAAAAACAGGTGCCAGTTTGAGAGTAACTGTAAAAAAGTTAGCACTGGACTGTAGCCCCTTCTACCTCCTAGCAGGAACAGAGAAGCTGGCAGCCATCTTGTAGCTCAGTGTCTTTGTCTTCCTGTTGCCTTCATGCAATGACATTCTAGTGAAGAAAATCAGCTTCCCGACTTAGGACACACACCCCAGTTTTGGAGTGCTGATTTTTGGGGAAAATATGTGAGGAAATACAATATATGCTTGGTCAGGTAAGTCACGTGGAACTTTGATGTTAACTTATTGGATAACCAAAGCTTAAAAAAACAGACTTTGTCTTTCTGTTCAAATTGCCAATGAATATTCTTAATTGTATGAATCTATGGTACAAATAATGGAAAATAGAACATTTCCAGCATGGATGCTTTTGGCTAATGCTCTTACTTTTCTTGAATATCAGAAAAGTGTGTGTGGGGGGTTCCCCAAGAATATGCAAATATTTTGCTGGTTTTGCCCAGCTCTCTAGATAAGTATTTGAGGACAGAATCTGGGAAAAAGCAAGGTCTAATAAAAGAAAAGTCATGTATATTTTAAATGAAACTCAGCCTAATCAAAACAACCAGTGTATCTAATGTTGCTTTTTTTTTTTTAACATGGCAGAACAAAATTAGTGATGCTCAGAGCTGTTTTTATTTTCAGGCAATGCCCATGGTTATGTTCTACCTGAAGACCCTGAAACAAAGAGAAATGAAATCTCCCTTAACTTAACTTTTGATCAGCTTTATGAAAAACTGAACCTGGCAATGCAAAGAGAGAAATTTTTAAAGGTACAGTTGCCTGTTCTGTGTTTAATATGAGGTTATATTTCTGCCTTAAGGACCCAGAAAAGAAATGAGGTTTCAGAGACTCGTAGAACTGTCTTTTTCCAGGGGCAGATCTTCAGCTGGCATAAATGAATACAGCTCTGCTATAGTGGGTTGAGCTGTGCTGATTTTAATCAGCTGGGGATCTGGTTCTACTTTCTGCCAAAGAGCAGCAAGAACTGGGAAATCCAGTTCATTGGAATGATGTTGAAGATGCTCTGCACTCGGTAAGAGAGTAAGTAGGAGCTGTGTACTCACCTAGTTCTTTACCTCACCAAAGTAGCATTCAAGAAAGAGCTCCCACTTATTGCTCAGGAGAGCATATTGCAGTTCATGCAGGGAACATGTGTTTGTGGGTGTGGACACACATAATGATTAAAGCATTTCAGAGGCTCCACATATACAAGTCCTCTGAAACGTTCTTAAAGTAGCTGAGACGCTCCAAAATAGCACATCTTGAAAGGAAGTACTATTTTGAAGTGTTTCCCTTTTTTTATATATCTGGACGTGAGGGGAAAGAAAGTGGATGGGTCCTGCTGTATCCTACTCTGGCTCCTGGGGCACTGCTTGGTCCCTGTTGGGACCCCTGAACACTCTACTGAATCACCCCCTTGCCAGACCTGGAACTGAGCTTACCCCCACTACCACTGCACTCCCTGCCCCCCAGATCCCTGGCAGCTCCCAGGCCCAGTGCCAGTAAAGGCACTCCAACCCCAATTCCCTCTATCTTTGCTGGGCTGAGAAGGTAGTGGGGATCAGAGCTGGAGGAACAGACTCATGGCAGCAAGGCTGGGGAGCACTCCACTATCCTCTCCCTTCTCCTCCCCTCTACTTTCTATCCCCGTGAGGGAGGGAGAGGAGAGAGCTTGGAGTGGAGTCACAAGTCACTATTCTGCTCTAGCACCCCCTGGCAAGCACTAGAGGAGGCTGCAGTGCTCTGAAACATGCTAGGCAGGAACAGCCAAGAGGCATGTGTGGCTCCTGGATTAAATGTTTCCTTTATGAAACATTTGCAAGTATGTTTCAGTTGGAAAGGTTTCAATTGTTACTTCTGTCCACACCCTGTGGTGGGGTGGGGACTTGACACATCTGTCACCAACATGTGATTGTGGTGGAGAGTGAATCTTTTTTTTTTTTTTTTTTTTTTTTAAGTAATCAGTACTGACTGAGTCTTTTTTTTTTTTTTTTCTTCATATCCTGTTTGCTGAAGCCACACAGATTTTCAGCATAGCCCACTGAAGTGACAGGGATGAGAACAGAGCAGCAGTGTTCAGGAGGTAGGAAGTAATTTACATGAGGCTCCCACGCTGAGCGGAGGTAGTGAGAGAGATGAGCACAATGCTGAGCCATTCCCAGAACTGGTCAGCTTGCTGCATCTTCTGGGGCATGCACCTCAATAAGGTTTTCTTAATTTATTCTGTGTATGACACAATGACGTTCTCTTAAAAAAAAAAAAAAAAAAAAAAAAAAAAAAAAAAAAAAAGACGTGCAAAATGAAAAGATTAAATTTCAAAAGTTAATTTCAGGATTTGTTTGCTATGTACAAACTAATCCTACATTTCTGTGAACTAAGCACATTTTATCAGATGTGTTAATTTGAAAATCATTTTATCAGATTAGTGACAGTTGCTAATTATCTTGTAGGAATCTAATTTGAGTCTAAGGATTCTTTTAAAAAAAACATTTTAATTTATTACTAGGGAAATTCTAGAAAGAAAAGAGAATACAAAAATCTCATCTTCATAGTTGTGTTTTGTTGGGTAGCATTCAGAGCTCCTCAGCTTTGTTTTCTTCATTGTTTGTGTTTGTTTAGATGGCTTGAATAGATTTCAGTTGAAGGGTTAACTCTTTGTCACATACTTGCAGATTTTTATATTTCTCTACACTTAGTTGTGCATTGTTTGCATTATAGTTTTGGGTCCCATTGTATTGTACAAACAGATATTAAAAGGCAGGTGCTATCTTGAGGAGCTTGAAGTTTAAATAAACTAAATAGGTAAAGAAGGAGAGAAAGGAAGCACGTTATCCATGTTTGTCAAAAGGGAACCAGGATGCAGAGAGAGTACTTAACTTTTCATGGTGTGCTGGGTTGTCTGTGACAGAGCTGGGAGCTTTAGCTCTGATTGATTGAATTTGAGTTCAGCACCTTTCTTTTCAAGACATGATGAGCTAGGTGTCCGCACCTGGTCTGATCAAGCAGTGTTCTAATTTATACCTTCTACTCATTAATACAATATTGTGCCATGTGCACATTGCATCCCTTACTTAATGTAGGTCTTTGATTACACGTTTAATAACATTGTTCTTGTAGTATTTTTCCTACCTCTCCCCCCAATTTAAATAGCTGCTTCTTGAAATTATGGTCTTCAATAGAAAAAACAGTTCTTTATCAACTTAACTATAGGAGTTAACTTCCTATTATGTTTGAGGATTTTTTTTTGGAAGATACTCTATCAAATTATTTCCCTAAACTAGATAATTTATGTCCACATTGTCCCCCATCATGTGAACTACTTTCAGCTGCATCCCCAATAAAACTGCTAGACTTAAAAAATATAAATTAATGGTAAGATTCAGTAAATGTAGAATGAACATCCGTATTTAAGATAAATGTAATTTATATTCTCCATGCTATTCCTGGTTAATGTTTAGTGTTTTCCCCAATTCTGTAAATGCTTGTGTTTTTTCCTTTTAAACTTCTCTTTTAAATGTCTAAACTGTCTTCATCTGTCCCTGTTGGAATCTCTCCGAGTTTAGTCCTCCATCCAGTGAAGTCAATGAGTAACTGTCTGTAATTAGTGCAGAATTATGTCCTAATTTCCAGATACTTAAAATGGTACTTTATTAGATGTTTTGGAGTTGCTTATTTCTACACCTGGATCTTATGAGAGACAGCCATATTTTTCTCTTATATCTATATACTGTTTACAGTGCAGTCTAGCTTCCCTCTCTGGCATTCATACACATTGATCAGGGGGATGATGGAATAGAAGCCTGTACAACCCAACCTAACAGGGCCCTTGAGCGTGTTCAACACTGCCTTCTGGGTCCTACTGAAGAGGGAAAATTCTGGTGTCTCTGCTGGAGTCTGCAAGTGTGTGAATACCATCTCATAGTTAGCTTATTTTTTAATCTGAAAAAATCAGAATGCATATGATCTTCTTCATTTATGCCCAAAAGGAGACATTAAAAATACCAGTGCAGTGTGCATCTTATCCCAGACTCAGGTGAAACACCAGACTGATGGGAATCAAGGAAATCCATGAAATCCTTTCTTGCCAGAGTTGTTTTGCCATATCCTTCTCAATCATCTTCCCTCCAGCCCCCCAAAAAGGAGGTTACCTTTGGCATAATCAACAGCATGAAGAGATGTTAAATATGAACCAAAGGCTAACAGTAATTAACATCTCCCTTCAGGAGACTAATGAGACAGTATTTCAGTATGTGCCCAATGATGACCCTAGCATTTCCAGCCAGATTTTTATCAACTAAGATGGGCTGATCTAAAGCTTCACAACGAATCAATGGTCTTGGGAAGCAAAACTAGATGGACCTAAGCAAACAAGATTTTGAGTTTCTCTCCCAACTGAATTACTGTAATCTTATGCATGAAGTGTATGAACAATATTTAACACTGCAGCCAAGACAAGATGGTGTATATACACCCACTGAAGAAACTTGCCATTGATCAGGACTGTGACACGAGGAAACCCTCTCCATAGATTCATAGATGTTAGGGCCGGAAGGGACCTCAATAGATCATCGAGTCCAACCCCCTGCATAGGCAGTAAAGAGTGCTGGGTCTAGATGACCCCAGCTAGATACTCATCTAACCTCCTCTTGAAGACCCCCAGGGTAGGGGAGAGCACCACCTCCCTTGGGAGCCCGTTCCAGACCTTGGCCACTCTAACCGTGAAGAAGTTTTTCCTAATGTCCAATCTAAATCTGCTCTCTGCTAGCTTGTGGCCATTATTTCTTGTAACCCCCGGGGGCGCCTTGGTGAATAAACCCTCACCAATTCCCTTCTGTGCCCCCGTGATGACCTTATAGGCAGCCACAAGGTCGCCTCTCAACCTTCTCTTGTGGAGGCTGAAGAGGTCCAGTTTCTCTAGTCTCTCGTCGTAGGGCTTGGCCATACGAGTGGCCCTTCTCTGGACCCTCTCCAGGTTATCCGCATCCCTCTTGAATTGCACGCAGTACTCCAACTGCGGTCTGACCATCGCCTGATAGAGGGGAAGTATCACCTCCTTGGACCTATTTGTCATGTCAAGCACTGTCTAATAAAAGATTTTAAAATTTATTTATACTGCAGTAAGGTATTCAGAAGTTATGTCTTGATGGTCCCCACATCACCAGAGGCGTGGGAAATGACTGCTCTAAACTGAACTGGCTGAAGCAGTCCAAAAGCAAGAGGTGTGTTCTAGCATATCATGCCCCATTATTTCTCTTCCTGACTCCTTGTACCAAAGATGGGAGAAGGTGATATGTATTTGACAATGCTGGCTTCGTACTAGTTGACAATTCACTGTGCTTGCCCATTTTAATACTATTTAAATTCCTTTTGTGTCCACTGAAGTGGTGTAAAGCAGAATTAGTGGGATCCAAGTGTGCAGCATTTTGCTATCAGCTGTGTGGGGTTTTTTTTTTTTTCTCCCCATCATCTTTGTAGGCCATTTGTATTCCAGGTGATCAGTGTAGTTGCTTAAGGGGAATAGGAATCTTTTGGGCAAAATGTACCAATACTTAGACAAAAGAGGGTAAATAGCCTGTAAGACCATTAATATCAGTTTATCAGCTAAACAGTATTCTTCCTGGGAGCCATCTGAAATCTTGTCACTTCTGTTCATTTAATAGAACAGAGCAGTAAAATGGGTCCTTGACCCTCACAGGATAACCTTCTCGAAAGGGAGAGTCACTGATCTGTTTATGACATAAGTGTGATCTCCATCCCCATTGCCAATCCCAGTACAAATCCATAGTATGGCCAGAGGTATTCATTGAGCCAGACACTACTCACATAGTACTATAGTGCTCATGAGACCTTGAGCCAATCTAAAAAAGATTACCACAGTGTGTTTTGAGTGGCTTCAGCATTGATTATTCCAGTTCTTAAGGGTTCGTATGCCACTGCTATGATATTAGTAACAGGTAGGAAGGGTAGCGTAATGACCTGGAGGGGGTGCTAGATAGGGAACTAGCAGTTACCTGGTTACATCTTGACAGTTAACAGTGATGTTGACTTTCACTGTCATGTAATGAAATGCCGCCTTCACAATACTGTAATATGATGCTTATATTAGAGCAATGATAGTGTGCTGGTTCTTCAACAGTCTCACATGAATAGTCTTTCTTCTCTTTCTGTGCTTCCTTATATACCCATCCTAACTCCTCTAAGCTGGAAGTGGGCATTTCTTTCCTACTTTCCACAAACTACTAGGAAGGTATTGCAGTGCCATCTTTCCTCCTTTGAGATGAAGAGGAGCAGCTCTCACTGCAGTTGGTGTTTGCTTAGTGCTTACATGAGGACTCCTTTGATCTCTTCACCTTCTGCTCTGCTTAACATTTTTTGCCAGAGAAACAGAATCACAGTACTGTCTAGACTGCATGAGAGCTGCACAGAAGGGGTGAAGGAGTCCCAAACATGCTTCTTTTGCACCCTAAAAACTTTATACTGAATGTGCTTTGCAGTAGTTACATTTTTATTCTGGATTTTACTCTGTACTGTTTTTCAGACCTCCTTTGTGTCTTAAGCCTGAACCTAACACAACTCTTGGCTCCACCATAACTTGCTTCAAGTCAATATATTCAAACCTGGTAAAAAGAGTATCGTATCCAAACACACTACTGTCTCTACCTAACATTCACTCTAAGAAATCTGCACATTAAATTTCACCTAAATACTTTGCTGCTTCCCATGATCCCAAATATGTTTGAGCTTTCAAAGATCATCTACACCAGACAATAATTTTCTGTGCCTTCTACTTCTCGCTCCATTATTTCCTTTGTTTTCTCTCAGTCCTATCTGGCTAATCTAAAATTTAGCTTCTATATTTTGAACAATATCATCTGTCTTTGGAAATGTTGGCACATAGCTTTTTATCCTAAAGCTTTCAGACTTCATCTCTTTTCTAAGAACTGAATGTAAAAATCTGTCTCCTTCATGTGTCCAGTTTTGGCCCCCATGCTTCAAGAAAGATGTGGACAGTTTGGAAAGAGTCCAATGGAGAACAACAAAAATGATTAGGGCAAGACTTATGAGTAAAGGCTGAAAGAACTAGGGTTATTTAGCCTGGAGAAGAGAGAACTGAGGAGGGGATTTGATGACAGACTTCAGATACCAGACAGGTGATTACAGAGGGGTCAGAGATGAGATTTTCTTCACGAGCATAGAGGACAGGGCTAGGAGCAACAGCCTCAAGTTTCAGCAGAGGAAATTTAGATCGGAGATTAGAGGAACTTTCTGACTATGAGGGCGGTCAAGCATCCTAACAGGCTGCCTAAAGAAACTGTGGAATCTCAATCCTTGGAAGTTTTCAAGAGCACTTGGATAGTATTCATCTGACTATTTGCTATAAGGGGGGACTAGAACAGAGAGGGGTTAATGACCTATCCTGGAAATGGGGACTAATATCTGCTCCCTATCTTTTGAAATGTCAAATCTGGTAGGACTCCTCTACCACTAGTTATCAATATCCAAGGTAACAGTATTCAAAGCTAGAGAATGACCGTTGGAAAATAGAGGGAATAGCTGTACTGCTATTTAAAAGATGTGGATATGTGAGGTCTACAGACAGTCAGAAAGATCAGAAATTTCCCTTGGGTAGAAAAATCCCATTGACTGCTCTGGCTACTCAGTGAATGGGAGCCTTCTGAGAAAAAAGAAAGGTTTATTTTGTACTGGGTGATATGCAGGAACCCAACCTCAACCTGCTTCTGATGTAGAGCACTGGCCCATGATTGATTAAATTTACAATTTAAAGCAAAGAAAAGCTTCTTTTCCAAACCTCACTGTTCAGTGGATCCATGATATTGACCTTTGTGCAGCCTTTTGAGATGGCACTGCTGGGACAGCCACATGCATGTCTTTGTATCTCTGTGGCCAGAGCTGGATTTTTCTCTTACATTGTCCCTATGTGGAATAATCCCTGTTTATGTCATTTCAAATGCGTCTTTTCACCCTTGCAGACTCCTAATAAACAAATCAAATATTTCTCATTGAAGTTCCTGGCTTTCCTCTGTATTTGTTCCTTTCTTCTCCCAGCCCTTTGCAAACGTATAAATATACATCTCTCTATATATAGTGCGTTGTTCTTGACTTCCTGGCATGTTGGTGACGTTTCTGAGTGAAAACTGAACACCTTTGGCCTCATTCTCCACTCAGTTACATGCTGTTAGACTATTGGAACACACCTGAGGTCTCATGAGCACCCAACCTCATATTTGTCTTCCACATTGACCTTGTTTTTCAAATAATCATTTTGCCGTATAGCATGATTTGCTGTTGTCTTGACATTGGATGTAACTTCTCCTAACCCCAAATCCAAGTCCAAAATTACATTGTTTTTCTTTACCTGTTTTGGCAGAAACGAAGGTTAGAGTGATGCAAACATACATTTTTTTTAGGGAGGGGACACCAGCTCTGAAAAAAACAAAACACTTGCACTTTCCTGTTTGAATGACTTGCGAAACAAGTCGAAGTTTGTTCTGTAAAAAGATGTGTGTGTTTGTTTTCAACGTTAAAACAACAGTGGCTATTTCTGATCTGCTTGGCTACTTCTGGTCAAGTATAAATCTAATTTGACCGAAGTGGAGATCTAGCTCCTGTTTTCATTATGACATGTTGAAAATACAATTTAGTTCAAAAACTCCTTGTTTATACTCTGCTGTTTTCTGCCTCACATGACTGTCCCTACACTTCCTGAATCTCTCTGAAATTCCCCTTTTCCTTCCCTTTTTTTTTAACCTTATATAGACAACTAACATGAATCAGTCACTCTTCTGCTGTTTCCAATATAAGTTTGTTAGAAATCCCATGCAACCGTTAGTTATTTCTACAGGTTTCAGAGAAACATAGCTTTTGTAACTGCATCTCTATGCTTCAAGCCATGTACCTTTTTCTTTGCACTGATAATCCAAAAATCACCCACCTCTTTACATAGATCATAACAATTTTTTCCTTTTTAGATACTGTTAGGTTTTTGTATAAAATTCTATTTTTAATATAAGTTCCAACCATTTACCTATTTAACATTTAGGATTTGAGCAGTACTTTTTTGCTAAAATTGAAGCATCTGAAGACTTTGTCACCCTCTTCAAAATTTCTTTTAATTCTACCACACTTTTGTTTAGCTTTCAGATGTTTATTTTAGCCTATCCAGGCTATTACATAAAGAAATATCTCCTAGTCTGGAAATAGTAACCCATTGTCCCACTTTTGTAGGAACAATTGGAGAATGAGAGCATCAGAATGAAGCAAATTGAGGAAGAGAGCAATCAAAAAGAAAAGAAACTTGTATCAATTATTGCTGTAAAAGAAGAAAAAATAAGGATTTTAAGTAACAGATTAATAGAATTAAATGAAGTACAAAACTGCATGCAGATGCCAGTATATAAGATGGAGGTAAGAATATATTATAATATAATTATATTTTTTTTAATAATTATCCTTTTTCTGTTCTTTTTATATTATTCACTGTAGTAAACAGATTTTAGAAGAAAACTGTATATTCATTACTCGCAAGATTACTAAAATATATACAGCAGTATTGTTCCTTCTTGATTAAGCCATAAAATACTTGAAATTTGTTTTGTGCTTTTTAATTTTTCAGCTTTGTATTTTAAATAGCTTTCTCTAATGTCATCACATCATTGCAAATTAAATGCATAACTTCTCAATTACTCTTTTTTTTATTTCACTCTGTTCAGATAGGGGAATTTTACTTATCAGGAAGAATATCCAAGTTAAAATAAACATAAGGTATTTCATGACTGTAGTCAAGGATGCAACTACTGCTAATGGGCACAGGACTGAGCCAGCTTTAAAATTAAACTCTCTACTGGTAACAGTGTGGCTGGTACAGTAGCATGGAGCTCAGTGTGGGCTGCTTGATTGTTTACCCAGCTTCCGGGGCAGGTTTTGCAACTTGCAGAGTTCTGTACTGCTTCTACCAGTAACCAATCTAGTTAGTTTAAAGCTAGCAGAGGTGTCTACTGAACTACAGAAACCTCCTTGACTGCAGTGCAGGTATAAACTTTGACTGGTTATAGTAACAACTCTGCTTCTTAGCTGATGGCATTGTTTTAAAGCTCATGTAATACTAGTGTGATCCACAAGGTGGTACTCGAAGTTAATAACTTGTTTAAAATCATGGTAGAATACTTGACAGTGCCTGTGGCTTGCTCCTTGAAAAATGCTGAGCTGAATTGATTTTTTTAGAAATAGCTGAGTCCCAATGTAACAAGCCCCTGACCAGCTACATGATTAAATTACAAGTATATTAACATACAACTTCTGTCTGCCGGTTTCCATCTCCATGAAAGGAAGATAATCTTTATCTACCTTTTAAAGTCCTCTGAGTCTTGAATGAGAATTGCTCTATAAACAAAGAATTGTATTATTAAATGTGTGACACCCAATTCTTCATAAATTTCTGTCTAGCTCGCATAATTTGTAGATGGGTTTTCGGACTGCTAGGAAGATAACTTGGTTCCATTGATGTTGATGAATATGGTAACATTAATTAATCTGCCTTTTTGTTAGTGCATGTAAATATAAGAATTGAAAAATGTATGCTAACGCAGGCTCTTTACTTGCATATTTTACTTCAAGGTGAAAGGGAAAAAGGTTGCTTCAGATAGACTTGAGTTATCTCCAGGGATCCCTGGTATTTCAGCTGTGCCTGAAAGGTATATAATTTTGCTGCATTTTTGCAAATCGCTGTTAATGTTTACATCTGCTAAAAAGTAACAAAGCGAGCTGCTTCCCTGCCTTTCTATAGTATAGAAAGAGTGGAGAAAGTCCAGAACGGGGAGGAAAGAAGAGCCAATGCAGCATGTGGAAGCATAGCTGGGGCTCTGTGGGTATTTGGGGGCATGTTGGGAGAAAGAAAAACAGCCGCTTGATGCAGCAGGGGTTCAGTCTCCTTTGGAAATAGCAGTAGTTGTTAATGTGGGCTGTTGGATGGCATTAGCTCATCTTGGAGGGGGAATGTGCCTCCATGGTGGAATAACTGATGGCAGCACAGCAGAGGAGCCAGCTGTGCTGCCAGGAGGGGACTTAGTCTGCACAAGGAAATAATTCTTAGACTGCCTTGTTCTGAATCAGAGTTCAGAGCTGGGTTTGATCCATGGAGCCCCAGCCTCTGTTGCGGTAGAGGCTTTGTCATCTGTACATGATCATGAGAAGGGGACTAGGGAGATGAAACTGAACTTCACTATATTTAATGAGCAAGTATTAGTTCCTGTAGACCTTTCCACTGTTCTGTAAAATCACTTCTCCCTACCCAATTCTTTTTTCTTTTTACATTAGAAATTCAGCTATTCCTTGGAAGGCTGTGCATGATTGGAAAATTAGTAGGATTGCAAACAAAACCTGATTTGATACAAAAAATGATACTTTATTTGAACTGTTCACATTTTCGGTGTGTTTTACCTCATCAATTAAAACATCTAAGAACAGTTGGAACAAATTATGCAACTGCTACCATTTTTTTCAGATGATGATTCTGTTTTTTGGAGCAAGGTCCTAATCTACATCTCTTCCAGAGGCCTTCAGCAAAACTATCAAGGCGGCATTTGACATTCCTGATTGTTATGATACAGGCAATAAGAAAAACACAGACAAAAATCTTTCAAACTTTTTAGAAGTAAAAAAGTAGAAGGGAGTAGAAATCCATTTTTCCGTATTCTTGTTATCCTTAACAACCCAAGAATTTATGCTTAATCTGTGTAGGCCAGTGTACAAGAACAGCTAAAGCCTTCAATTTTAAGTATTATGCTGCATAAGTAAGGTGAATAGTGTAATCTGCAGGGTTTTTGAGAAGTCAAAATCTGCACTTACATGATAAACTTTATTTCTCATTCTTAGTATGATCAACTAGGTATTTGACAGCCATGTAGCACTCTACAAAAGGCCCTGGAGAAAACCACATCAAGTGGGAGGGAAAAAAAGCAATGATGTTGGTTGCACAGGAGAGGGGCAACTAAGTCAGATGCTCTCCAGCCCTTTACAAAAATGCCACACAGAAAAATGGAAGGAGAAGCAAGTAACAGCTGCTGTTACATGGCTTGTTCACTTTCCTGTACTGACTAAAGTCTATGGGGAAAAATAGGAAAAAATAAATGTTCACAGCAGCAGTGGCTGATTTCTTTGGACTGGCCATCACATGAATGGAAGTAGTACACTTGCCAAGAATGCACATTATGGCTCATACTGGAGGAAATGGAGAAAAACACAAAGGTCTATGGCTGAGGTTTTCTGTAGACCCCAGCTGTCTAAAGGTTTACTGCTCCAACCCAATTCTGTGCAGGGGCATGTGAATGTGTGACTAAACAGCTACAAATTGTATCATATTTATTTGCCTGCATTGTTCCCTGCCACTTGTCTTTGAAAGGTGTGTGTGTGGGTGTGCATGCTTGCTTGCACATGCGCTTTGAGAGAGAGTTGTTTTGTTTTGTTTTTTAAATAGCTATTTGTTTTTCTCTCTTACATTTGTGGAGTGCTACTTGTAAATTAAAGGTAATGAAAAAACTGAACTCTGACACTTGCATTTCAAATATTGGACTTTTAGGGAAGCTCTAGAGACAGTTTTCCAGGAGGTACAGGAAGAATGTCATCGAATATGCACATTAGCCAGAAAACAAACAGATCAACTGAGTAAATTTAACATGAAGAGAGAACCTGTAACTGGTAATATCTTAGTTCTTATTGTGATCCAACTGTTTGAAAGCTTTTCTTTATATTTGAAAATACAGTAAATTGCATATACATTTAAAGTACTGCTATTTACTATCTGCCTCTTTCAAGTCTGTGCACATGGTGTTTTGCAGTTCACTAAGAAAATGCACCGTTAGATCTGATATTCAGTGATCAGTATTCCAAAGTCTATGGATAAAAGGCAATCCCAACATCACCAACTTTTGTTATTCCAGTTTGTCCTTTGTAATAGATTCTTGGTTCTGAGTGGCCATGTCTACATGTGCATATTAATGTGACATAATAAACTCCAGCACTTATCGCGCTGGAGTTTATTGCTCTTGGGCACCACATTTACATGTGTGCCCAAGACTGCAGCACATTGAGCTGGGTCAGAGCAGCCCTGGATGGCAAGGGGCCCAGGGGGTCAGCCTGCCAGCCCAAGGCTGCTCTAACTCAGCTCAACATGCTGCAGAGGGACTGGCTTGGGCATGAGTGTACTGCAATGTGGAGCTAGCCAGCAGGCAACCCCTGCACTGAAGTGCCCTCATGTCCCAGCCAACTGCATCAGCATCTACACATGCAGTGCTGTAGTTTTAGTTTACTCCAGCCTCATAGCCCTGAACATGTAGACACTGAGACATTTACTGTAGAGCTAATTAGTCTACCCCACAGTAAACATCTCACATAGAGGTATCCAGTAGTAAGTAAAAGTATGCTCTGTTAATTTTGTCAATTCATAAAAATACCAATTATGAATATTGTTGGCCCTAATCTGTCAAAGAAGACTGCTGAATAATTGACATGGCATAGAAGAGGACTTTGTCTTAAAGTTCCTAGTGCAGACTTGCAAAGCTTATCCCTGTACAAAGTAAGAACCTAATTCAACACCAGCCGAAATGAATTAAAGGACTTGACTGTGGTGGGAACAGGATAAGGCCCTAAACCCTGGTTCTCTTAATGCATATGCTATGACAAAAATAGTTTTAGAGACACAAACAATATGTTAAAACAAGAATCCAGTTACCGTACCCTTTCAGTCCCCTTGATCCATGGAGGTATCTTTGATGCATGTCATACCATTAAGTAAATGTATGGTACAATTCCATGAATGAATTGATGGTCCATTATTTCATGCAGGTCATTCCGCTACTTTTAAAATTATTATTATTATATTGACTGTACCCCTTTAATTTTTGTGATTTTTTTTTTAATTCAGCAGATATTCCAAACATTTGATTGATCTTTTGTTTTGTTTTTCTTCTTCTTGATACAGGTATAAGTGTGTGCTACTCTTGACTGGGTTTCTGTAGGCATCACTGTACCTTTATTAATAATGTGTTTTGCATTTCTCCTTAAAAGTGGACTCACTTAAAATTTGCATTGAACGCCTTTACCTATTTAATGGGTTACCATGATTTTTTATAATAAATAACCATTCACATTATAAATGGTAAAGTGTATAATGCTACTCACTTATAGCTGTGTCCACTTAAAATCAGTTGTACTAAACTTGGACGACATCAAATGCTGATGAGATAAGGCTGGCCAAGATTCTGAAATGAATAACTTTGCATTGTTTATTCTGTATAAAGAATTACATCTTTTTTACTCATTGCATAGTTTAGAAGGGGCAAATACCTCTTAAGAGTTGTTCTTATTATCACCATCTATCACTAGTATATTACCTTACTGATTTCTGTATATTGATGTAGCCCCTATTACCGTTATATCTAGGAAACTTCAGGGGGACTGACTTACTCCCAGTCACATTTGGAAATTATTTTGCAATATATAGGTTATTTGTGTGTTCTTGTGCTCAGTGCCTGGAGTGCATTGAGGATTCCCAAAACATGAGAGGGAGGGGGAGGGTTCAATTTAAAAGCTTGCCTGACCTGAAATCAGTGAAAGAGGTGCCTAAATACCTTTTTAAAAACATCTTGTTCTTAGTGCCTTGCAGACCGTTGGCACTTCATGAGAGATCTTCAGTTACAGCTTCTATTTCTGCCAGAATGGTGCAGTAAATATATGCATGTGTGTGTTAAAAGTATTGGGCAACATAAGTTTCAACAAAATGAGTGTTTATACCTAAAATTGTAGAGAGGAATAGAATTGTTACAGTGAAACTAAGCAGAATCGTATTTCTGGTTTAAATATTTGAATTGGGGCTGACATTCATAAAGGAGGGCAAGAGAAGAATCCCTCAAATTATAACAAAAAACAATAAAAAATTAAGAGAATTTAAAAATGCCTGTAATCTGTACATTTTATGCATTAATGATTACTTTGAACTATTGTTTCCATAGGTTCTGTCTGATGTTTTTCCTTTCCTCCCTTCACAGATATCCAGTTTTCTTTGCCCATCCAGTGTACTGATAGAAGTGATCAACAAGCAGAAGAGCTTTTTAAACCTTGGGTTAAAAAGGATATAAATAGAGGTGCATCATGCATCACATCTATCACACCAAGAGGAGTGGGCCAAGATGAGGAAGACAACTCTGTGGAATCACTTTCTATATTTAATGTCAAGTTTCCACCTACAGACAATGACTCTGCTTTCTTGCAGAGCACTCAGGATAAACCAACAATGCCTTGTACTGTAATAGCCGAAAACGTGCTTCAGGATCATGATTTTAACATGGAGCATAGGGACCATGCTATGAACAGCAGTAAATTGAATTCTAACTCATCAGAAGCACATGGATTTGATCCCATAACCTCAGCTTTACAAAACCTAACAACTACTGAAAAAAGCAGCTCCCCAAACCCTACAAACATGCTTATAGAAAATTCTCAGGACAAAACTTTGTGTTTGACAACTGGAGATACTGATCCCAAATTTGTTCATGAGCACACAAATCAAGATGTCTGTGAAGTAAAATTTCCCTCTTCAGAGGCCACTGGGACTACTGTCAGAGGACCTCATCAGGTATCTCTCTACTGATGCTGTATATTTCAAAAAGTTGATATTGCATTTAAAATGTTCTGGGAAAGGTCTTTCAGGCCTTTTTATGATTCACATTATTCTTATGGTGAATATGACAGATGAATCATCTTTCTGACATTGAACCTGGGTGCACTACGTATTGTTTCAATGAAGGAAGGGAGAGAATTTAACCAGATATTTCTGCAGTATTGTAGCCTTGTAGATATTGCTTCATGTATATAATACTGTAATAATATCTGCTTCCATTGCAGAACTGATTTTAGTAACTTCCTATGATTTTATTCATATCCAAAAAATTACTTGCTTTCTCCGTGGTTGCTCAGTAGACTCTGTTGCGTGGTGCTGTACAGCATTATCCTTTTTAAAATGTACAACTAGTATGTGGGCACATGGACTAGTTTCAACCTAGATCTAATGAGTGGCAAACGCAAAACAAACACTTAACAAGAACCAAATATTTAAGAAATAAAATAGAAAAACATGTCTTTTCAAATAGCCATAAATGGAAGACCATGAAAAAACAGACTCATGAAGATCTTCCTTTAAAAAAAAAAAAAAAAAAAAGGACACTTCAAGCATCTTCATCAGTATATGGAATTCTTGTAGAAGTCCCTAGAATTTTAGCACTTCTGAAAAGATGGCCCTTTTCTGCACACGGTTTGCCACACAGTAGCAAAAACATTTGAAGCGTATGTTTAAAATTAAGTCCATGGGCAAGATCGTGGCCTAACTCAAGACTCTGGAAAACTCAAGTTGACTTTAGGCCAGCATTCCACCATTTTTGTTTCTGACAGCTTATCTAGAGGTTATTTGGAGGCTAGAGCAGGTATTGACATTTAGGATTTTTTTTTTTTTTTATCTTCACTTTTGTCATTGAATTGCTTTGTGTGACTTTAAGTAACTCACTATAAACTTCTTACACCTCAGCTTTGTCTTAAAAGTGAAGATAACATTTACTGATCATAGGAGGTATGAGGCTAAACTAATATTTGGGAAGCTTCTGTTGGACACTAGATATCTGAAAATCTTTCTTACTGATCCTTAGATCCAGTCTAGTTCACCTTCCTACCTTAGATTGCTTTGTTTTAAACAGAGGCAGAAGAGTCTAGATATTTGTAGCACTGCTTTACATTTTATTTTTAAAAAGTGACCACAGGATCATTGTTAAAAATGTATAATATCCAAAATGTATTGTCTGTCCTGTGGTATATTTTTTAGTTTTACACTGAATTATTAATTACACTTGTTTTATTGTATAAATTCTCAGTTATAGATGTGACCGAGTAAAACAAATTAAACAATTTATTTTATTACTAGTGGAATTCCTGTGGAGCTGTGAAGCATCCATTCTATTACTTGTTACTTTTTCCCTTTTTCTCCGTTCTCTCTCCTGCTTGTTCTTTTACTAGTTAGTCTGTGTATTCATTTTTCAATAGATGGCACCCTGCATTGTGTATTACAGCAAGTGAAACAGCTGGTATGTGATTACAGATTGATGGGGAAGTATGCAGCTTGAAAAGTGCAGAAAAATTGCTGTTGAACTGTTTCAAGACAGGAGTAGAAAATTTTTATGTTTATGCACAATGAGGAAATGTATTTTGATATCATTTTTGGTGAATGACCAGTACTGTAGCTCTGGGAAAAGGGTTTAATATTGAATGTTACCTTGGGAAAGAAAAGTGGCAATAGAAAATAGTTTCAGTATTTATAAGTAATATCCATATAGCAAAGTAGAACATAAGGACATTGATTAAAATGTTGCATCTTATCCAGAAGTTTATTTGAAAGAAGCCAATATTACTTTAGATTCAATTAAATATACATCTGTGTATATATATTTAAATATGCATCACCTGGATTTAACTGTTTCCAAAATGTTTTTATTCATTTCTGTTTTGCATAAATTGGATTCAACTGTTTCTTTTTAAATAGTGATTAAAGGGTCCAATTCTTCGTCCCAAATGAGTTATAGGCTATTTAAAATTCTTAAGTTTTTAACGGCCTTAGAAGCATGCATGTCCTTTTGGCTGCTTTAATGTTGGTAACGCTTAAGCATGTGCAGCTTTACCGTTGAATAAAGGCTCACGGCATTCTTTTACTCCTGTTATATAAGGGCTAGCGATAAACACCTAAGCCTTGGCACTTGCTTCCATTGTCCCTGCCACTAGTAGAGCTCCAACAGGAGTGAATTACGTACCTGACTTTTTTTTTCCTAGTATAGATGAGGAATTTCGTGCATTGACTACATATGTTAACTTATAAGATGGAAAACCCCCTAAATGCAATATATTTGGCAACAGTAAGCCTTGGAACTGCTGCTCTCAGTTGATGTAGTAAATTTAGCTCTTTCCTTCTTTATGGATACTAAATGTAAAAAAACTTGGTGCTGTTTCCTTAGGGTATAGTAACTTTTTAAAAACAATGCGACTGCAAAGGGAAACTGATTGAAATAAATATGCATCTTATTGGTCTAAGGTTTTACTGATTTAAAAGGATTTGTATATGTTTTTATGAACACGCAATTAAAACTTTAGGACCTGAACTTGCAACTACTTATTGCTGATGGCATGCTTTATGTAAGTGAGATTACTAACTCTAATAAACATTAAGACCTCATGCCAACAAAACACTTAAGAACAAGTAGGACTTCAGGCATTGACTGTAAGCAGACTACATATCTACGTGTAGTTAAGCAGTGGTCTGTTTAAGCCTCAAAGAAGTTAATGGAATTTAAGTGCGTGCCTAAGTGTTTTTGCTGGGTTGGTACTTAGTCCTGGTAGTGTTTGCAAGATTGAAATAAACCTTGCAGGACAGGACACTGACAGCCCTTGTTCCCCTGCTTTGCTTGTGGCAAGATGGCAAATTAGAGTATTCTTGGTGTTTTGGGTATTCAGTTGTTCAACGTGATTGTGTAGTTTTAGGAATAGGTTGTCAGTACTTGTACAGGATAGTTTGGACAGGGATGATTCTGCCCAGAGTATGGGGTTGGACTAGATGACCTCTGGAGGTCCCTTCCAGTTCTGTTTTCTATGATTCCATTATTTAGAGGGAAAATTGATTGCTAAGCTGTGCCCAGTTTAAAAACTAGAGTCAACCACTCTGAAAGTCAGGTTGGCCTCAGAGTCTATCATGGTATAATGGGTAACCACAAAATTCTTATCTTCTAGCCTGGGAAGGTTTGAGAACACAAGAATAAAAGCTCCCTGCATGTAGACGAGATGTGAAAGTTCAAGAGAAAACTGCTTGCCATTCTGTGTTGGGTGATAGGGAAAAAGTTGGTGTCAAAAGACTGTAGAGATCTCTCCTACCTTATGTTCCCTCCCCCACATAAAACCGATACCAGCCTGCTGCCATTCTGTCTACACTGCTGGCACAGCATTACATATCTAGTTTCCCATGTACTCAGAAGCAATGTAAGGTAGCTTATATTTTACATCTTGTTTGTCTATTAATATTGTAATGAAATTCTTGATCTTCATTTTGCAGTCCTGATTTGTTCCTCACGCACCTACTGGGTGGCTATCCACTATATCTGAGTCTCTCTACTGCTGCTTTTTTAGCATTAAAGCATAACTCAACATGTGCCTTATTTACAGTGCAGCCAGTGACTGCAGTCTTGGGTAGACCTATCTGAGTTAGGTTTTGTAGCCCACTCTCAGTTTTGTATGCCACAACTATATTGCTTCCAGCACTTGAGAAGCTAGGTAAATACTCTGGCAGATAGCCAGTGTTGAGTTTGATGCTGCTGCAGCTAGACTGTTCCTGGTACCCAGGCTAGCTTGTTTAAAGCTCATTTAAGTATGTCTCCCTTACACTGCAGTCACAGCAGGTAAGAGGTAAAATATAAGCTATGCTACATTGCCAGGGAGACTGGCTTCTGAGTAAATTGAAAACTAAATATGTACTGGTAGAAGGAATATAAAATAAAATCTGCCTCATGTTAGTCTTGTACAGTAAGCATATGCTTTAGTCCTAATGTGAAATGGATATTGCATATTTCCTATACAGGGCTGTATTACCTACAGATGTCTTAGATTAAATGTTTCTACAGGAAAATATGAAATAAGACACACAGAACCTTTCTATTTCGCTGACTAAAATTATTGTAGTAGTATTTGTCAAAAATGCAAGAATAGAAGTCTGAATTCAAATACTTTACAGCTTTAAATGTGTATTTCTGCTTGTTTGCTTTACTCACATAAACATTCTTCATTCATCACTTTTATTATCAAGTAGATATAAAATCTGAGTAGTTCAAAATGAGTGCAGGTGACTTTATTAATTGAAATGTGATCTTTTAAAACACAAGTAGTAATCTATTTTTTGCTTCTTTCAGCCCATCTGGAAGCCTCAAGACAATGACTTACTGATGCAAGCTTATACAGAGTCTGAACTGAATCAGTCTGGAATATGTGCGTTCTGTCAGGAAGTTTTCCCACCATCACTTACATCCAAAGGGGATTTTCTCAGGCATCTTAATTCACACTTTAATGCACAGTCTTAATGTATCATAATGCTTGCTTACTGTGTGTAAAGCAAGCTGAATTCTGTGTTATTGTGCTATTGAATTGCTGTTCTGTATATATTTAAATTTTACTTCAATACACATTAGGAATTTCAGAATTAAGGCTATGTCCACAAAAAAACAAATTACTGGAACTTTTTCAGTTGAATGCATTTTATTTTTTTAAATTACCTTTGACATTGCAATTTTACAATTTTAAGTCATTCAGTGAAATATAGAAATTGTCATATTCTTTATCATGTTTCAGCATTAGCTTTGGGCCTGCTCCTACAAAGCTTTTCTTAGGTTTTCAATTATCACCTGAGTAATCCCACAGTAAGCAGTAACTACTTGCAGGAGTAAAGGTTTGTAGGATTAGGCCTTTAATTTCTGGAGGTTATTATTAAAAATTCTCCTTATTAGCTAGGTGCCTGATCCTCTGAAGTAACTAGGAAGAAGAAACAGGCCCTATTTTTTTTAATTCTGGAGTGGTATTTTCAAATTTGACTTAAGACAGGTTCAATATTGTATTTAGATTGAGAACAAGTATGAAATTTCACAGGTGTTGAAGGTCTTATAAAATCACCAATATCTAAACTCCACGTGACAAACTTTGAGAAAGCTAAAACTGTCTTTTGTTAGTAATGGGAGAGAGAAGGTCATTCTACCAGTGCAAATCTTTACTAGAGATTTATTTTAACTACCATGGGTTAATTAACCCTTAGCTAAAATGTAAAGGTAGCAATACAAAATTTGACAGATGCATTATTAAACAACTTATTAATATACCCTGCCAGCATTAATACTTGTGTAAAGTACTCTCCTCCATAGGAGTTGAGACCTGCTTTTCTGAACAGGTTAAGTGAACAAGATTTAAAATTTCCCTGAACTTTAACATTCAAAAGAGAATGTAGTTTTTCTTCTGGCTCTTTACTGGATATTATTCAGACTTCCTTAAGTCTATAAAACATTTGACAACCAGACATGCAGACTGAAGTCCATTGGCTTTCTTTAAAAAAATAGATTTTAAAACTAAACAGTTGAAACTGTTTTTCACAAGTTAATACAGTTTATGACTATTAAAGTAAAAAAATAAAAATAAAAGGCAAGGTAGCAAAAGCATTGAAAGGTAATGATGGTCTCGTGGGATGGTGGAGTTGGCTGCATTTGGACTAAAGTTTTTCTTTCCGGACATATTAGCATCAATATTTCTTCTCCACGGGTAAGCACTTTCCCCCCATCTTTTTGAGAAGGTGTCTGGGGCAGGGGTGACTGTTTTAAAAAGCTTAGGGGAAACTAATGTCTTGCATTTTAGAAGTGAGTTCTTATTCTAGTCTGAGGTGCAACCTGATCCTCCACTAAACCTTCTTCTACAACGATTTACTCCATTTTAAGCCTCTCGTGTTTGCATGACTAGCGCGAGCCGAGCGTGCTGCAGTGAAGCGCGGGGTGCGGTGCGGTGCGGTCCGCGCTGCTGGTGTCGGGGGAGCATCTCTTCCCGCCGCGATGCGAAGCGCCCTGTGCCCACCGCGGCCGGGACCAGCGTGGCGGCGGGAGGCCAGGCTCCCGCCCCAAGGAGCGCCGCTGGGGGGGGCCTTGGGGACCACGCTGCCCGCAGCAGCCTGGCACGCGGCTCACTTGTCCCCTGGGCCGCAGAGCCGGGGCTGAGCTGAACAAAATGCTACTCTCCAGGCA